ATAGCTCAATAGGATTTATATAGCTCTTTAATAACGAATATGAATTCGGGATGTGAGGGGATGCGAGATGAAGATCATTTCGACGACGAAACTAGTGATTGGGTTGAAGGCGGCGACAATAAATTTGACCGTCAGTATGAAGAAGATTAAGTGCTTGGATGGCATAAGCGAATGTGAAGAGTCGGATGCCGCGTATGGGGTTGGAGAACCCCAATACCCTTCAGGAGCTGCTGTTTTCACGGGGGGGGGGGGGAGGAGAGTGAACTAACCCCAACCTGTTCCCGTTCCATGGCCTCATCTACACCTCCCCGCGTCTTCCCTTTCAAACGTATCAAAGTGGATGTTATTAGACCTTGCACGCGCGACAAGGCCCTCCGCATCACGATGGGAAAAGACTTCTCACTCAACGAGGCCCGCCCACACCGCAAGGGACTCGGACACAGCTCACGCAAGATCCTCTCTCCCATACGTCCCAACGACTCCAAAACAAATGAAACTGATGCACATCGTCTGACGGAAAGTATTTATAATTCAAAGGAAATTGCACTTCGTGTCATTTAGCTTAATAAAATAAACCGATAAATGAGGGAAAATGTTCGGATTTTATTAAAAGCGCAGAGGTATGCATAATGCAATGGTCAGATTGTATTGGTTTTGGTCAAATGAAAATATTGGGCACTGGCATGTATACACTAATACCTCCTCAAAATCACTATTATTAATTCAAGAACTCAATGTTAAACAAAAATAAAGCGTAGGAATAATTTCTCCTTAATGAGATTTTTCTATATTCACCTGGATTCTTGCGCTATTCGATTTTTAAAGGCTATCGTCACTGCTTCGATTAGAAAAAGAATAAAAAAAAGGATCACTCACTAACTAAACACATTTTGTTCAGGGTGATGAATCAATTGGAACGAAAAGAAAAAACAAATAACAGATTCACACCTGTGTGGTCTTATCTATTGATGTATATAAAGTATATGAGTAACATAAATAACCTTCATCTGTTGTGAATATTTCCTTCATGAAATCTCAACAAAAACTCATTTCTTATTATACAAGCAATGGGTGTAGACACCTAAAAGTAATTTTCATGGGGCTAGATTAGTCACATCGAAAGGAAATATCTAGTACGCATAAGGTAGAAAGTTGAATTAGTACATATATTTTGGACCTTTTTCATAATTCTTTCAAATGGGAAACCACAATGCGTGTGACAAGAGGCTTTAAGTATGTCCTTATCGGTAGATAGAAACAATGGCAGAGATTCCAGGTACTTTTCGCTCTGTTGCCATACCTTTGCATTATATACCATCGGCACAAGCCACGGTGCACCCACGGAGGCATACTCGAGTTTTTTGACCTTGGTATAACCATTCTCGAGATCGGACGCATGCAAAATTACCGGGAACATATGACGCTTCCTGTTATTAACTGGGTCGATGGACTTCAGTTTGGACGCAAAAATCGGTGGAGTGAGACTGATAAAGGTCTTCGAAGAAGTTCTTTTCCCGTTAACCCACCTGGGTACGGGTACTTTTGTGTAAATCTCCTTACCGTGTGCGGCATATGCTCGCTTATAAAGGTTCGCTACAAAGCGACCGACATTCTCGATTCCATCTATCTCGTGTGAGTGCAGGTGTTCAAGCCCGTCCGACGGCAGGTATTTCGCCCAGAGTTCATCGTGAATTTCGGTTCGGTGTATGAATTTGAGCGCAATAACCACCGAAAGCGCATTAGCGTAGTCTAACCCGATGAAACCGGCACGCATACCGTGAGTGGACCGCGCCGCCTGGCGCTCATGCAACGACATCGAGAAAACATCCTGCTCAACTTCCCACGTTAAGAGATCCTGATGAAAGAATGAAAAGATAGACTGATCGCAATTCCATCCTTTCTGGGTCCCAGATGTTGGTTCGATGGTTTCTGTTAAGTTTTTAACCTTCCTTAGGTATTCTATTTTGCCCACACACGGACAATTACAACACCAGAGTTAGGATGGCGATACGGTGATTGGTCAAAAGGCAAAACAAGCTTATGCTCCGGGTGTGCGGCCGCGTGCGCACGAACCTTTTCATAAACCGCTTCATACCCAACTGCACAATCCTCACTGTTGAGGTATAGATTCGGTGCCCAACAACAATCCTCCGCGTTAGCTACGATAGGCGCCATTGCACGGTCCTGCCGCACGGCTAGCGTGTCTAACTCCTCCGGCGCCGCGGCGGACTGGGCGATGAAACGATCGATAAAGGGATGAATGTCTACACCTGTAAAAATCGTGTCGGAATCTATTATAATAACGACATCTTCCAGATTCAGCTGCGCATTCTTGATGGCACTTTCCATGAAGTCGAACTTGGATAAAAATCCATTGTACGGCATTTGATAGCCGGCTACCACCACGGGCAGCCCGCTTAGGTAGGCTGAGCCCACTGAATAGCAAAGCGTATCATCAATTCTGTCACTTATAACAAAGATAACGACTCGAGGCCCTGTGGTTCGAACAAAAATATCTCCCATTTTATCTTTGGAAGTCATCGAGGGTGAAAAGAAAATATGGTTCGAATCCTCAGCGTAAAATAGCAAAAGCAATATGAAAAGCATGCCGATGAACCCAACGACAAGCGACCGCTGGAGGCGAACTCTAGAAATATCACTTCCCCAAAACGTTTGTGAAGGTTTTAATGATGTCATTGTTTTAGTCTACTTCTTTGTAAGGCTTTTATAAATATCATTTTTATGTCTATAAATAAAGCGAATACAATGAGAGTTATCGCAGTATCTAAATTTCAAATGGGATAAAAATAGGGAGGGGATAAAAATAGAAAATAGCTATAGTAGAAGTTTGACAAATAGTCTGTACATCGTCACACATTTGAAATTTTCCTAAAATGCTTCTCAGTCGCAAATGATGTTTGTCAGTGAGTTCCTCCTACCTGGTGCCACGTGCAGTGGCACCTCTCAAAGAGATCCTGAACGGAGATACGCACGAAAAGATAAAAAAAGGGACAACCCGCGGAGGCTAGAAAAGGGCGAAGCGGATTCAGCCCAGGCGCTCCACAGAATTAGAAAAATTTACGTAAATGCAATGCTCCCGTTTCTCAGTTCCCTACCCTGGAGCTGAGTTATTGGAATAGAAAAAGTCGTTATTCTCTGGGCGACATCGTGAAGTACACGTTCCAGCACAATGTGGCGGCCCTATGTGCAAATCTTATTCGAAACGACTATAATGTCCTCGTTTTTTTGTTGGGTGTGGACCCTTTAGTGTATTGTGGTGTTGCTCTTTTATTAATAAAGACAAACACGCTTGAGAGGGGGGACGGATGAGGTGGTATTTTAATCTATTGAAAAAAGCCACCACATAAATTGTTTCTCAGATAACTCTGATTTGCAGGAAAACACGACAGCTCCCTTATCTTACTTCCACTTGGTTGAGAAAGATTCCTGGTATCGCTTCAAAATATAAAACACTATTGGATTTTTTACGCTATTTGTCCAAGTTTAATCACCATATTAAAACTTAATGGATTCTGCATGTCAACAACAGCATTCGACCCTTTTTATCGTTAATAAAATAGTGTATAGATTATATATTTTTTCAATAAATAAAAAAGAAAGAAAACACAAAAACATTTACAAATTCATAGCGATGTTTTGCAAAAATACTCAAATGCCTCTTTAAAGGAGCCGAATATCGGAGTCCCATCGTACAGCATTAAATTGAATGGAATGGAAAAATCCTCAACGGTGAGCCCGTCGGCGTCTTTCATGCCTCCATACTTCTCCGTCATACTGCGGAGGTCGGAAGTATAAACAATAATCTGCTTCCCATGAGATGCTGCATATCCGACTTCAAAGGCAGTCCCACAATCGGGCTCATGTGAACGAAAAGGAGAGAGGTCTGCAATGATAGCATCAGACTCTTCGAGCAGGGCGATGTCGGCGTTACGGATGTTCAGAGCCCCAGAGATCTTATTATCCAACTAAATCATTGGGATTACCTGTTATGCAGTCAACAGCTCACTTACCTTCTCATAATAGGAAGCACCTCCATCTGAAAGAAAAACCTTTGGGTCAGAGATGTAAACTTTCTTCGGAAGTATTATTTTCGTGTTTGGTATATACTATGAACACTTCTGTTTAAAATCATACAATTAAAAAGGGTGTGTTTCACTGAAGGGATGCTGAAAGCTGAAAGCAACAAAGAGGGGGTCGAAGTGGGGAAAAATTCAGAAAGAAAAAAGTATTTAACCTCATTAGTAAGCGCAAAGATTACTAAATAATATCACATCATATTATTCGAAAAGGGCAATCCAGCGTAGGTCTGCTGTATAGTTGAACCAAGAAAACATATGAGAAAGATTGCCAAAACGTACCAAGTCATCTCGACGTTAGAAAGGGTTAGCTCTTCCCTTTTTGTACAAAACACAATTGTCAAATGGCTTATTGAGCATAAAACGTTGAAAAGGTAAGTTTGATCACTTTCCAGCTGAGCAAGCTGTACCGGATTCGACTTAATCCATAAAAACGACATCCTCTGAATACCTATCCGCATGAAGGAAGACGGAGCAGCTTCTGGGGTGTTGAGTGAGTATGCCCTGCTAAATGTCTCAAGGTTTCCTAGCCTCAGCCTTTTTATCATGGCCCCACTAATGTTGAACCCATGCACTTCATCATTCAAGACTACTACAAACAAAGAACTTGTTGGGTCGGATAACATCTAGAGTAGCAGAATAGGTTGCACCGATGAGATAATGGACCGGAATGTCACCATCACCTTATCTCGCGGGCGCATCAGCAGAACCTCGCCATTCGTTGAAGCACACAGAGTTGTTCCACTGTCATTCAATCTCAAGACCCATACAAAAGAAGCTGCTTCAAACAACAGACGAACGTTCGGAGCGCTCGATCTCAGCCCTTTCATAGACACACGCCTGCCTATCGGTAAGTGCGCCAAAGGCACCACTAATCAATCTCAGGCAAATTTGTCTAATTGAGAAGTTGTCTATTCAATCAACAATAAGTTTCAAGGCTAATTAGAGATAACAGCGAATATGCAGGAAATAAAATAATGTCGCAATCCGAAAAAGCAACGTTTTTGACGATATCGCCAAAGCATAGAAAAAATCGTAGACACTTCCTTGTCAGGTAATCAACCAGGACTACCGTCGCCAATCAACGTCAGGACGTTGTGAGCACCCACACTTTGATTGTCCGTAGATCTATTTGGGGTTGATATGGTAAGGAGCAAAACGCTAAACGGAGCCGGCATCCATCAAAAATATAAATGCTATAGGAAAACAGTAGTACCACAAAAACTGATATGCATCTTTAAAGAAAAGGTACTTTTTTTCGGGGTGCGCAGGTACGTAGTTTTGTGGTGGCGATTTCAACACACACGGCGTTTGGATGTTGGAAAATCTAGATGGCAAAACACACCTTTATGCCCATTTCAAGCGAGCCCGTTTAGAATTCTAGAGGGACCGATTCCAATCTGGTTGATAGATTGATGAAATGAAATGTGACTCATTCTCTTGTTGGGATCTTTCCTCCCACAAAAAAAAAGATAAAAACGGATTTCCACACAAACCATAACGCCGCCCTCGCTCATCTCGTTTCCTTGAAAGTAAAAGTACTTAAAATTAACAAGAATAAAACAAGCAGTATCTATCTAGAAAGACAAGTGTCCGCCTATAGGGATCAAAACAAAGTCCTGTTTACTAACGTTCTCTAGGTCTAGAGCTGTCTTCAATTCCTTTGGGGGCTCATCCAAAGTATCATCCGCCAGCTCGAAAGTGGCCCAATGAACACCAAATGCCTTCTTGACGTTAAGTATTTTGAATATTTTAACAGCCGACGCAGGATCGATGTGATGGGTTGACATGAACCAGCGCGGCTTGTACGCTCCGATGGGGATTGCCGCCATATCCACATGATTATATTGCGCATGAATGAGATCGAAAAGGCTTGTGTTAAAAGCCGTGTCGCCTGCATAGTAAAAAACCTTAGCGCTACTCCAATCAATCACCTGCAGTGACGGACGCACGGCGGCCGAACGGCGGACAAACCCCACAGTCCCATCCTCCATAGTCACGGGCGACGACGAATCCGCGAGATTGGTGGGCTGCCAGCCGATGCACCAACCACACCAAAGGACCCGATTGCCATCCCAAAGGCCTCGTCGCCCATAGTGCTGGGCGGGGGTGCAGCCGATGGCAACCCCCTTCAACCTAATTTCATCCTGCCAGTCCATGGTGATGATGGATGCGTAGGGAATACCCCAGGAGGTCAGGTGGGTGTCCATGCGGCGTGGCACGACAAATGTCACGTTGGGGTGTTGTTTGTAGATGGCCTTGACACTCTCCGTGTCCAGGTGATCGTAGTGGTTGTGAGAGAGGGCGACGATGTGGATTGGGGGTAGGTGCGCGAGGGTGGTCCCGGGTGGGCACCGCCGCGCAGGTCCGACAAGGCGGAACGGGGAGCACCGTTTGGAGAAGATTGGGTCAAACAAGATGTTCGTCCCAGTGTGCAGACACAGAAGAATGGTGGAGTGGCCAATCCAAAAGACATGATCCATCAGTGACTTGCTCGGATCCTGTCGAAGGCGTTTCAAAACTTCGGCTGCATTGCATTGTTGATTCCACACCTGACGAAACTTTGCGTATCTTTCTCGCAGTGCATTTTTGGATTCCCTCCGAGAACGTCTGAAAATATATTTCACCAGCCTTGAAAAAGAGAATGTAAATGGTTTGGTTGAAGTAAGATTCTTGAACAGCTTCCCATTTTTAGAGCGGTTTGACCAAAAGGTCCCATATTTGGAGCCTTGAACATCCTGCATTTGGATTTCTATGAGGCAGAGGAGGGAAAGAGACACGATACGTTTGGTCATGGGGATCAGGGATTCGTACATAAAATAAAACGATATCGATTCAGCTCCCATACTTATGGACACACACCTTATCGGATATTCAATTCAATTAATGGAATGAATTCCAATTTAGTAGATTGGGGACCTTTACAGTTTTGTGACCATTATAGACGTAATCTTGCGGAGCCTCACAGCTCAAGACTTTTATCAAACTGAAGGACCGAATGGTGGATTCGAAGATGCCGACAAGAAAGAGTGCCCCAAAAGGTTCAAACGAAATAGCACACGCGATGCCCTCGCAAAAATCCATCTTCTCGCGGCGCTGACACCAGCCGCTTTCCCTTTCATTGGTTTCCTGTGAGTTCTGCTTTTCGTGATAGGGGCCACCCTCCCATCCGACTGCTGGGGCTTTTTCCAACGTGAAGTGCCGTTCAGACCGCAAGAGCAGTTCGGGTTCATCGTATAGGTGCCATTCCTTCACAAGACCGTCATCATAACCACACGTCATAAAAACATCGGGCTTGTGCAGCCGACAGAGATGACGACCTAGATGACTCTGAGGGCCTTTGCTGTCAGAGATCAGCATCGGAATGTACGTCTCCATCTCCGTCTTCCACACCCAAACCATGCACTTGCCATCTGATCCACTTGATACTAGCAGATTGCCTTCTTGCAAAATCAGCAGTGCAAAGCAGCCGATGCAAGCCATCTTCATAAAACAGAGAGGGTACACGACGGGCTCCACACAGCAGAGTGGCACACGCAGGTCCTTGCCAAGTTCCCCCCCTTCATCGAAACGTACTGTGACCACGGAGTTATGCAGAAAGAACCCTAGAGGCTCCACACCGGTGTTTGTCTCATAATCAACCGGGAGCGCGACCTCATTGCACACGATCCCTACCGCCTTACCGCCGGCAACTCTAAGTGCGTGTTTGGGCTTCCATTTGCTTAATGGAACCCCATTACGGCAAACCACCGAATCGGTCTTTTTGCTTAGGCTCGACAGTCGCCCCTTCGGTTGTGGAGGCTGGCTTGGGTCACGAGGAGAGAGATGTCGCTTTAGGTAATCCGCCTCACACAGCCACACATGGTGGTTGGCCAACCTAGAAGCACGCGAGCGTACGACCTGCCGTACTTTGGCGTAGTCATCTTTAGAAGCCCCAAGTGATACCGCATCCTGGTCTTTGGCGTTCGCCGTTATGGAATGAATAGCATGCTGCTGCTCCGAGGGAAGAAGCGGCACAAATGGTGTGCAGGTCGACTCACACCAACAAAGCGGGTGTGTTGAGGCGATTTGGGGTTCGGCATCGTCTTCCGCAGCGTGGTCCTCAGCACCGCAGAGTGGTTTCCAGCTTAGCTTATCAATGGACCACGCAAAAAAGCCTGAATCGGTCCCGGCGAGCAACCGGGAATCGCTATCTAATGCCAAACTATAGATCGGTGTTCCAGATTCACACGTTGTGCTGTGCTTGCTGGAATCATCGCGGTTGACCATGCTCAAGGATGAGTGCAGACCTGTCCGATTTGGACTGGCGACAAACACGTGAAGCAAGGCGTACCGCTTTTGGAGGACGTCCACTCGCCACAAGCGTACGGTGGTGACATCATCACCAGTGAAAACGTAGATCGCCGCACGCTCCTCCTCACCCAAGGACCGCCTCCAAGTTTCCCAAACCGACGTCGCCGCCTCGTCCGAGCGTAGGACGTTTCGTGTGGGTTGATTAGATGGCTCCATGCGGTCCACAAACACCCCTCCCTCCCAAAGTTTCAGGCAACGGACTGCCTTGGGGTGTGGAATACACACAAGGGCAGTTGGCAGGGGATGAAAAAAGCTTAGGGCTACGGCCTTATCGGTCGAGGTGGAGGCCACAATCGTGCCTTTGTGATCCAGATTCCGGATTAGTTCCTCCCGAGCGTGGCGATGGAGCAGGCGTTTTGCGCAGCAATGCACAGGAATGTGCTCAGGTTTATGCTTTTCTAAGGCGACCGGCTTCAGCTCGGAAACAAGGCCTGGAAACTGTGATCCGTGGCGTTCGACTAGCACCCGCAAGAAATGCATGGGCAGCAATGGAACCGCAAACAGGTGCCCATTGTCGGTCCCAATAAAGAAATACTCAACCTGTGTGAAGGCGGCAATCGTTTCTTCATCTTCGATTAGACACTGTAATGTATGCCCCAAGGTACGAGTGAACTCGGCCTCGGACGGAAAGTGTTGCCTTTCTGGTAACCAACGATGGAGCACCCAGGCCAGCAGCACATGTGCGTCCTCACACGACAGGGTGGGAACAAGGGTATAATCTAGGGAAGAAATGTAGTTGAAGTCATCTACATCGAATGAGAGATGCTCACGCTCGGTGCTATCGGATTGCTGCTTAAGAAAGAATGGTGTTTCGACACATGCAGATCGTTTATAATCGGGTACCCTGTGAATAGGAAAGTTACCACGGTTAGACCACATTCGCCGCACAACACAATCTCTGTCGACAAGCCGCCAAGGGTAATTTTTGAATTAGAGTTATTTAGTGAATCTTTAACTCCTCCCTAGCATGAACATTAAGGGAGAAATTTTTATATGATCTTATCATTAGGCAAAGGAAAGAGTTCGTCGCATCATTTCCTTCCATTCCAACAAATCAGTTGCTTTTTAAAGTTGCTTTGATTATTTAAAGCGATATATTCCTATTAATAATAATTAAAAAAATACTATTGCATATAACTCGGAAACAATCGCACACGCGAGTATCCATTAGGATAAACTACTAAACTGATGTTGGCCTTTTCACAAAACAAAGATATTGCATGGTGGTGCAAACTTATGAAATCAATATGCGAGATAAAAGAGCCCGCGTGGATGCATACAAAGTGGTTAATAATTCACTTCGTTGGGCCTTAACATAGGAAGAATTCTTCTTTGCAAGAAGCATGTCGTCCATGTAGAAAAGGTAGCGACTCGTAACACCATGTGGCAGGACACCGGTGCGGTGGCATTCTTCCAGTTGGCGTGCGACATAGCTACTTTGCATCTCGAACGTGGTGGCGCCGTGGACCACGCGATAAAACGTGATGGCCGGGAGGTTTTGTAAGATGAACCCTGGAAGAGTTACGCAGACCCCACGATGAATCACCGTGGGCGAGGACTTGCCAAAAAATGCCTCAATGTCCTCCACTTCCAGGCTGGCTTGGTTGCAATTTCGAATCTCATCGCAAGAGTCCTCACCAAAGGAACGCTTCGAAAAGAGAAGCTGTGAGGGCAATACGACGTCACCGTGGTTCCCTTGCAGCCCCGCTGCTTTGCCGAAGAGGTTGACGCTGCGGATACGAGTGCCAAAACTCAGCAAGAGCGATCGCAAGATGGTCTCAACTTGGGCACCGAAAGTCTTGTCCACATTGATGATAAAGTGGGGTTTGGACGAATTTGCCTCCTTCATTGCCGTTTCTGCGTATGGAATAAGAGCCGGGTCCACATACTCGAGGTTGATCTTTCGGACATCAATCAAATCTACAATGAGCGCGGAGGAATCGACGTCTTCCATTATCGTGAAGCCGTTCGACTCCAGGCTCGCACGATAGCATCGTCGCAGCGCCACGTCCTTTTCAAGAAGAGTAGTGAGGGTATAGTAGTATCGATCCGTCGGGTTTCTCCACGCCCCAAACGAGATAGGACGCGAGGTCGTGGCTTCTACTCCATCAGTGGCACTTTTACTTGCCACTAATTTCTTCAGCTCAGGGCCCATCGCACAGAAGCAGTTCTTGAGCACCCGATTAGATGAGAATAAGATATCCACCACAATGTCTGTTGGTAAATTAGCGTCTCCGGGCAGCCCCAAGGCTTTCTTAATTTGCAAAACAATGGAGAGGCCCCAGGTGGTGTACGGATCGTGTAAAAATTGCCTGCAAACGTTTGGTCCAATGCAAACCACGTACTCCTCACGGTGCTGAAGAACATTATAGAGGGCAAGCACTACGTTAGAGCCCCAAGCACGTTTCAGCGCGTCTCGCTCGCGTGGGGAAAAAGGAAGCCGTTCAAGAGCGTGGAGCGAGTCCCCTCCAGCCATCTGCAGGGACAACTCCTCGCGCAGAATCTCAATCGCGGAAGGGGCGACCAGCTGCTCCAGACGCATACAGATCTTTCGCGACTCCACAATAAGCATGCACAGCGTGGATACAAAATCGATGGGATCGGTAAAGCCGTCGCGCATCATAATGAGTGTTTGTCCCCCACCAGCGAATGTCCAGGCGCAGCGCCGGCGCCTACCGGTATCGACCGTGAGGGTATTGGGCACCACCCCGGTCCGCATATTCTCCGTGACGTCCGCTATAAACTCGTAGGAGAGAAAGTTCGGCAGCAGCGAGGCGAGGACGATGATGTACGTGCTTGTGATGTTCATCGGGAGACGGCGAAGACAATAGCACAGGGCCTCGCCATCGATCTCCTTGGAGTAAATCCGTCGGTGCTGCACCGTCTCGCTTTGTTTATAAAGGCCCACGAGTGTTTTCAGCGGAAGAACGTATCCATCCCCTTGGTGTGTCTCGCTTTTTCGGAAAGAGGCGGAGGACAAGCCAAAAATCGATCGCGAAAAGTCCTTGAAAATCGTGAAAGCGGGTAAGGTTTGAACGATGCTACTGGAAACACTGCTGGCAAATACGGGGGACTGCGAAAAGAGCGCAATGAATTTTTCCTTGGGAATTAACAACAACGTGCTCTTGAGGCTGACGTGGTAAGTAAATTCCGCAGGGCTTTCGAGGATAGCATTGTCGATCCCAAAAACATTGGGAGCGGTAATGCTGCCAACGCGACGATGCCCAAAAGCGCGTTTGATTCCCTTTTTGGTGTTCATCACTTCAACGGTGCCGGAGGCGAGCACGTAAATGTGTTGCAGTAGTTGTCCTTCTTCGATAATGATTTCGAGTTCGCCATACTCCCGCACCATCACATCAAGCTCAGATAGGTGCTTCTCAGAAAGCGTAAAGAGGTGGGGAACGATCTGGAGATAACGCTGCATGGAGGCCCTGTTAGACAACATGGACAATGGCGCGGAGGTGTTGAGAATGTTCGGCGCTTCCTGAAGTGGCTCGGCTATCGAATAAATCTCATCTGCGAATTCGTTATTGTCATAGTAAACCTCATTGTTGGCGTTTGTAGTTCTAGGAGGTAGGAGCTCGACCTTTTTTACCTTGACCGAATTGTCGGTCTCTAGGGTACTCATTAACAACTTTGGTAACCAAAGTATGTTTAAGTAATGGTATGCCGCGGTGAAAAAGGTAATTATAAGTCTGTGATGTTTTAATGATATGCGTTTGTAAATTTTTACCTATATCATCAAAAAAAAAGGTGAGAAAGGGAGATAGGAGTTTAACGGAAGATCATGAACTAGGCACCGATTAATCGTTTCGAAATCCGTTGCTTTACGTCAATGTTCCAGGTGAAAAAACAAGATCGCACATCTGGATTATTTCTTCGGCAAATGTCACACGTAGAATACCCGTTAACAGTAGGTCGTTGAATAGAGGAAAACTTAAGTTCGCGATGTCATGGGCAACACACGGCTTCCAATATTCTTGGTTGCCTCCAGTACCGTGCTATTTACGCCGATATCGTTTAGAAAATGCGCCTTGTCGAATGATATCGAGAGTGTAGGATTCCTTTTCATCAAAGATGTTTTCTTCAGAATGACGGGAACGCTTCCCAATAAATAATTTCAGCTCATCATTATCTTGTGTACTAGATATATTGCTCAAAAGAAGATGAGCCGGTTGGTGAACGGAAAAAACCAGTTCGCTTAGCACCTTTTTCTGTAAATCCATGAGCTTGTTGCCTTTGAACAACGACACTTCAGGGATGGTATTCCCATTCCATTGGTCAATTAGCGAGCTCCTTAATGAATTCCCATCAATCGTCAGCGTGTTGGGCGTCTGTTGGGGGTCGGAGGGCAGAACTGATGCGAAAAATGTCGAGGCGTTGTCCATCAAGGGCTGTTTAGGTCGCACGGAGGACTCGCGATCAACATAAAAGCACCGCCGGTGGCAGCTCGCACGCTGGACCACGGAAACCAGAAAAGGCAGCCAGCCCGTTCGGCGTTTTTGAGATTTCTTCTTGATGTCAGAGAATTCGGTGAGTTTGTCCACGTCCCCCGTGCCGCAGTAATCCAGAATAAGGTCGAGCTGGCCCATCACAGGGAGTGGCGACATTTCAGAGATCCGCAGACTCGCATTCAGAAAAGGAATCATTACTTGAAAGGCGATGCCAACGCACCTCAACAGATGAGGTGGGATTACCACATTGGGGCTTTTGAGGTGCATTTCTAGAATGACGCGTAAGGCGTGGCATAGCTTTTCAATTCGGGCATAATCCCCTAGAACGGAAGCGTTGTCAAGAGCAAGACGAAGGGCGGAAACGCCACGCCGTTCCCCTTTAGTCCCCAACTCGGCGCAAAAAAAAGTCGGAACGCCGGTCTCGACAATTGCGGTCTTGTCGAACCAAATGATGGTCCCGTGCGCATACGTGTGGATTGCCTGCATTAAGTAATTGACACGTTGGGCCGGAGACAGGAGCATCAGGAAAGGAAACTGGGACTCAATCTCAGCAAGCTTTATAGGTTTGGTCTTTCCCACGTTCGATGTGGCAATCCGCGTGATCCACAACACTACTTCCCTTTTGAGCATTTCATAGGAACTCCGAAGAACCATCGGTTCTGATACCTGCTCAGAATGGTTCATCACGGAGAATTGGAAGCAATCGCCCGATCGCTGGGTCACTAATCGCGAGGAGGCCACCGACACGTGCAGAAGGCCTGGGAAGTTATGGGTGCGCTTTTTGTGCAAAAGAAAGTGCGCACGATTGTTAATGTGCGCTCGTATCACACCCGGTGAGTCATTTGGCTCAAAAAAACTCATCAAATCCCCCAAAACGGGTACACAACACGGGAGAGCCCCACATGAGATCCGAGAGCCCCAGTGCACGGTATGTAGGACGTCACTACTGTGTTCAGATAGATCATCGTCTCTATCGCCGCTGCGGTCCGTCGTGACCTTAAGGTGAGGTGCCGTTAATTTAACAAGCGCGCTGGCAACTTCCTGGGGTGATAAAGGATATGGAATATTCATTACATTTAGATGAAAAAAGTCCTTTTAAATGACCAAAAGAAAAAGAGGATAAACATATTGTGTCAATCAAAAAAATATATGTCATCAGAACTATACACCTCGTGTCGGAACCCATTCACTAACTTAACTTTAGTGAAGATTCATCTCTTACGAGCATACTGGCAAACCGTATGAATTTTCTACTTGCATTTTATTCGCGGAAACTATATTTTCAATAGTGTAAAACCAGTTATTTAGTAGATTAGAATTTTTAAATTTTAGATATCCGTTTCAATGTTGGTCTCGGAAGACCCGACTTCCACTTTACGTCCTCTTTTCCTTGGTCTCGATTCGCCATTCACTCCTTCCTCTTCATCGACGACCCCAAGCAAGCCTGTGGATTGGTGAGCGCCACCGCGGTGCGCTTTAAAGCGCCGTAAATTCAACGTATCGGTGTTTTGATTACCTACATGTATTTGACCGGTAAGGTTGTTCATATCATCAGTTGAAACATTTGTTTGCGTCGAACGCATCTTTGCCAGTACTTCGCGAGGTACCTTGCAGGCCGCACGGAACGCCGGTGGTTCGGCGAATTGGATTCGCCGAAGTTCAAGGTCGAAATTGGGCCCGATGTCGTGCAGTGATATATTTTGAATGTTTTTACTAAAACCGGCGGCAAATGAGGGCTTTTGCACCGCATAGTGACGCATACATAATATTGTATTTCCCTTCTCGGTGGGCTTGTTGTTTCCCAAGCAATCGGTAGCAGGCGCCACACATGCGTCTTCACCGTTCGCGGAGCGAAGGGAGAAGAACAGCACCCGATCACACCCGTCCAAGTTAATCTCGGCGTCGTTTCCACCCCCAAAAAAGTCGACGAGGAGGTTTTTAAGCCTCATAAAGGTAGGATCAGAGGAGAACTCACTACCCTCAAAAACAAAAAAAGGCTTCCCACCTAATGATCCTGCTTCCACCTCAGATGCACGCGACATGTCTAAGCGATCAGCTGCAATAATCCCAGCCTCAACCATGTCGAGAATGTGGAAATCAAACAGTCTACCGAAGGTCAGATTGTTAGGGCGCTTCTTGTTGTGCGACCCAAAGCAAAACAAGGAGCAGTCGTTCTTGAATCCCAGAAACTCCAGATGCTGATAACCATCAAACGGCGTAAAGGCATTTTTCTTCGCTAACTTCTTGTTATACGGCTTTGTGATCGCGTTTAGGTCTGCCATAGCATCACTGCCTACTTCATTGATTGAGGAACCCTTTAGAAAAAGAATGCATTTCGGATTTTCCATCACCTTCGGCTCGTACTTTTTTAGGGCACGCCGAACCGTGTTGTTCTTGGGCGTCCGCCTCTTAAAGTCACCAATGCTAGACATCTCACCGTTTTCTTAATTAGGCAACCGTCAGTATGTATTTAGAGACAAAGAAATAAGACAGCAAAGAGAACAACTCAATTCATCAAGAGAATAAAAATAATGAGCACATAAACAAGTAAAAACAGAATAGGAGTAGTACAGTTGAAAATGATCCAGTAATCGTTTGACACATTTGAGGTAGTCCAAAGGCGTAACTATTCTTATTGTGAAAACAGAAGACTTTGTTGATGAGTTTGTTTTGTTCTGTTTGGCACACTTAAACGGACATATTACGGGAAATGAAATAGCCAAGGCCAATCAATCCTTCATCCATAATTAGCCTTTGAATATGTGTGGTCTTATAATAATAATAATGGCAGCAATGCATAGTAACATCGAAATGAAAAAATGTAGACGCACAAACAGTACTAATGACATAAGTTATACCCTTACAAGTTTATGTAAAATTAGAGAGGTAATCGTTAGGGAGCCTCAGATACTTTTTTCGGCGTGGGAAAACAAGCGTCATCTGGGGCTTTCCGAAATAGTTCAAGGGACAACTAACCGAATAAACGAATCGTGATATCCATGACTAAGTGTATTTTGTCAGGACCTTGTTTGAGTCAGGAGCGCAGTAGGAAGAATGAGAGCAGTAAGAGACGTTGTAAGTCTTGCTTAACTGTAGCCCTCAAGGTATCAAAATATTGCAATTTACTGAATGTGATTACTAAAATCACGTTCAGGACGAGCTTAGGCTTCCTCCACACACATAAATAAACACAACAACCAAAAAACGTAATTCAGCATCATACTAAGAATAAGAGATAAATAAATAAATATATATATAGATGGATCGATCGATCGATCGATAAAAATATCATTGCTAAAAGAGTCATCTGAAAATAGGATCATGATAAAGGAAAGCGTATAGAGAGGTATAAATAAACGAACCCATTTTGGAATCCTAACTTGACAGGACTCATTTCTTTCCTAGTAGCACATCATGATCACACCTCCTTTTCTGCCAGCCTTTTCAGGGGTCCACACATGACGTGGGCATTTGATCAACGATGAATGCCCGGTTGGTAGAGATTTATCTCACAAGTCAGAAAAGAAAGGGTGCTTCATCGAATCTTTTGCTGAGATGCGTACCGTCGGATCTAAGCTCAGCAGCTTTGACAATAAATCGATCGCAGCATCACTTGAACGAGGAAATATTTCCCGCAAGCCGCACCCCGGGCGCGGCTCAAAGTGTACCTTTCCCCAGAGTGGTAGCGCCGCCACTCCTGGCCATGTATTCTCGGTAGGACTTCCGAGGACATCGAATATTTTTGAAATTTGGTTGATGTCCCCGTCCCCGGGGAATAGTGCCCCCTCGCAGCCGCGCAGGATCTCCGCCAGAATGCACCCCGCGGACCACATATCGATCTCCGGGCCATAGCGGCGTTGCCCAAACAAAAGCTCGGGGGCGCGATACCATCGCGAGGCGACCTCGTGGGACATGTCCACGTCGTCGCGCATCCGACTAAGACCAAAATCGCCCAGTTTGAGGATTCCCTCAACGGACAGCATGCAGTTCGACGGCTTCACATCCCGGTGGAGGATGTGCTGCTGGTGGAGGTATTCCAGGGCCGCGAGCAGCATGCGAAAGAGCCGCCTCCCGACTCGAAGCGGCATCGGGTCGTAAAACGAATGTTGTGTGAGACGGCTGGCTAGGTCGGCGGCGCCGCGCTCCATGACAAAGACCACCGTGTTGCGATGGGCGAAGACCTCCACCGCCGAGACGACGTGGGGGTGGCACACCCGCGTCGCGATGAGGACCTCGCGGGCGAGGGGGTGCGGCAGTGCGCCGGCCAGCGACGCCACCCGAACCAGCTTCAGCGCCACAAGGGCATCCGTCCCTTTGCAGCGCGCCTCGCGCACGATCCCAAACTGGCCTTCCGCTATGACATCCCCTAGCATATACTTTTCCATCTCGCACGCTTTTCTTCCCTTACCCAGATAAAAATTGAGGGAAAATGAGAACACAAGATGATCATAGGGGTCACCATATACCGATCGCGTATCTGAAACAAATTCTCTCACGGGATGGAATTTGCCACAGATGTAACAGCGCATAGAAGTGGAAACCCATCCGCCGTTAATGTCCAAACTGAATTCAGATTCATCCACAGGCCAGGCCAGTCCAGGCCTTTGCTTATTTTTTATTATTGAGGGCTTTGGCCCTCTGAAACATGGATGGCTTCTTCGTCGGCACCGTTGGGGGTGGGGGTGAGAAATCGGAAGCCACGTTGGCTGAATCGCCGTCGGGCGCGTTCGCCCTCTGCTGCGTTTCCACAGGTTCGCTATGGGAGGGCGGTTTAGCCACCTCCGTTGGGTTCTCCTTGGACGAAGTCAAAAAGGAAAGGATATCCGTAATAGGATTGGAATGTGTCGTCTCATTAGGATTAGCATCCGAGGAAGACAGTAATTTATCAACAGAAACTAACCGATCTTCAAGAGAAGTTTTATTGTTTTCACTAGGGATTGATGACTCCACTACGACAGAAAGATTGATTCCTGATAAGCGCTTAAGTTTCTGCCGCTCTTGGAGAAGATCTTTCCAGAAGGCGTCAGAGGATTCATCTCTTGGACGCGGCTGGACCGGTCGCCGATCAACCGCTTTAGCCATGAACATTTTGCGGTTATAAATCCTATTTTGGGAAGTACTCAAACCTTCATGGTCTGCAATCACCTTTAGAGGCTCTAACTCAAAATTTCGATTCTTCTTGAGTCCCTGCCGCTGATATCGCGTGGCTTGGCGCGTCGCGATAGAAAATACAGGTTTTTCTAAAGGACCGCCGTCGTTTGAGTTTGACTCTACCGTACCCTCATCATCACTGGAGTGTAAAAACTCTTCTGGATCTTCATGGCCTTGGGGAAGCAATGACAATGGTGTGGAACCGCTTTTCGATTTCGCTGGATTTGGAGTCGATTTTTTCTTGAATGCCTTTAAAAAACTCGATACATCCATTGCACCAGTGGATGCAATGTCGAAGTCAAGACTAGTATAAAGTGGATCCTGTAAAGGAAGCTGTAAGAAAAAAGGGAGAAACAAATGGAGAGACCATGAATGACAAGAAAACACTCGATAATTATAGTAGAGGTGTAAAAGATTCCTTTCATCGTTGGATACAAGCTAATTTTATTTTATAATTTTATCTACTACTTTGCCGAAAAAGTATACATCACATGATTTAGTAAATCGGTACGGACGTCCTTGTGAGATTTAGAAAGGGTGCTATCTTCACAAGCAGATTTTATTACATTCAAACGCGGTGTGAATGCCCATTTGACAGGTTTAGAGGTTAATTTGTCTGAGCTTTTGTATTCAACTTGTTCATTATCGGAATTACTAAGTATATCTTCCGATAAAGCACGAGTAAGTTTAGCTGGAATAGATACGAAGGTCTCCTCAATAAAGAGTGAACTTTCCTTGATAAAATTCGGCGCACGACAAGTTTCATGCGTCTTATCTTTAGTATCCGCAAAACGATGATCGGAGGCTCGAAGCGACGATGATGCGAAACCATGTTGCCCATAAGGCTTTACAGGCCCGTCAGAGTATATTGGGTTCATCATCGGAGTGAATTCCCCTTCCATCACTGGTGGTGTGTAAGTGTTGAAAAAATGTGGTTCTTGCCGATCCGTTTTGGGTGAGACAGAAGGAGGGATACATAGTTCCAATTCCTCACGGCTTTTATTGGAAACGTCTACTACCAATTCAGGGAAGTATTTCGGTGCATAAGCACTGAGGTCATGAGACCTCAACGGTATTTTTTTAATCACGGTATTCGCAGCTGAAAAGTTGTTAATATCCCCAAATATGCCACAATCCAAGGTCGGTTTTAAAGAAGCGTTATTTTCATCAAGTAAAAGCGTATTAGCGTACAAACCAGGATCTCGATAGAAAACAGGCAAAATGGCATTCAGTTGCCGCGGTGGCGTTGCTTTGGCGAGGTCCTGTTCGGCATGACCAGGGCTGCGCTCATTATCGTGAAGCTGATTTTGCTTTGATTTCAAATGTTGGAGCCGAGACCTCAGCTGCGAACGCCTGAAAAGAATGTTTACAAGAAACTTGAGTTGACCAAATAGCTCAGCCTTGGCGTTTATCGACGACAGGGGACGTGAGGGAAAAAACGTTAAGGCCTTTTCCTCGGAATCGGTTTGTGTGTCAAAGTGAAGTCGAACAAAATCGTACACCAGTTTCTTTCGTGCAGGTATGTAAAAGGCAAAATGGCCCTTCCGCTCGGTCTCTACGGCTTCATCCCGACTTATTCTAATTTGATCCAGCTCAGATTCGGTGGGTTTGCAAAGACCAAACCCTTCATGTGTCTCTTGAGAATAACTATTCATTCTGCTAATGAAACCAACCAACAAACAAAAGGACACACCAGCACATAAATGGATAAGTTTTCGTAACATTGATTTTAAGATTCTATTAGGGTAATCAGGCGCATTATGAAAGCATGCCATGCAGTTTCATGTAAAAGTGATAGGCAAAATCGAGAAGAATAAAATCGCACACACGCGCGGACCCAAAACCCTTCTGAACAGACGAGAAAATGAGAGCGGTGGGATTAACTCCAATAGACTCGGCCGAAGGTTTCGCATTTCTGAACTATGGCGTAGATTAAGTGACGTAGGCCAGGAATATCGCTGCCCCCACCGCAGACCGTCACCACGCCCACACACGACGCCAAATAATTTTGACGACACCACGCAGAAACTTCGTGTAAGGACTCTTCAAGTGCGAATAGATAGTCTAAAGCAGAGGGAACGAGTTCGGTTTTCGTGTGATCCTCTGGAAGATCGAGCGGCTGGTTGGTGGAGAAACGCCTGAAGAGCTCCTCAAAGCTTGTTCCGGGAAAAGGCACGGTGCCCAGACCCGCGCAGTAGGCAATGGAATTGCTCAAGATGATCCCGTGGGCGATCGGCACGACGCGGGTGCAGATGTGGCCGAGGTCGACGACGACGGTCGCCCCGCTTGTGCCGTGGAGACGGGCGGCAAAAAGGGGGAAGGGCGTCGCGGTGACAGCCAGCGCACGGGGGAATTGTGACAGGCCCAGGGCCGCGAGGACGCGGAGACACAGACGGCCGAACTGGGGGTGGTCGTCAGGGTCGACAAGCAGAAGGACTCTCCCCGCCAGGTGGAACAGATGGACGCGCCAGAGCGAAAGCAGAAAACGGCACAGGCCCTCCGTGCGGGCGCCGGTTGTGGTGTCTTTGTTGCACTTGAGAGCCGATACGGTCTTCGGGGTTGGGGCTACGTGGGAGAATAAAACCTGCGCCTCGGACTTCCACAGGCGTGTTGTGTGGGCGCCAATACTTAAAAAAAACGTGTCATTGGAATCCATGAACAGCGTTAAAGTGGGAAAACGTATTCGTTAGTCTTGCTACCGCATCCGCACAAGGGAAGACAATAAGTAAAGTCTAAAATAGAAATGGTGAATAGATAATGAAACATGCAATATCCCCACATTTTATAAAAGAATTAAATGTTGAACAGACTTTACTTGGGTCATGGGAACTCACAACATAGCCTTTATTTTTTATTTCTTAGTAGTTTACAATGATTCGTTTATGTCACCTTACTAGACGAAGGAGAGGATTTGGATGGTGAGGGCTTGGGTATGCTGTCTGAACCTTTGGAAAGCGTGCTAGATAGCGAGGTAAACATGGGAAGGTTGGTCGACAACGTAACTTTGCTGTGCTTAGGGGTAATTCTCGGTGGGATCAAATCTTTGAGTATCGTTCGTTCCTTTCGCTTCCGCCCATGAATACTATCCTTTAGCGTACGTTCCATCTCAGTGACGGGAGCACGCTTCGATTTTTTCTTTCGAATTTTCTGCTTGCCATGGTGACCTGGCATTATGAAAACGTCCAAACACAATTAAGGGGATCTCTAACAATGGTCCTTTTGGGTCGAAATAAATGTAGGCAAATTATTAATTCTAACACTAATAGTGGATTAAAATAAATAAGATATCAATAAAATTTACAAATGCTCTCCATTTCAAATCGTTAATCACCCATAATACTTTCCTGCAGGGATCTTTCATTTTCATATTACGATAATGTTACCTTCCAGTTAGTTCTTCTCCTGTCACTCCAGTATTTGTGGTTATTAACACAATCAACTAGAATGTTGCTGTTTTTTAATATTCTTGTAAAAGATTCGAAGCATACTAAAGTCCGTTCTCGTTTGTAAAAACAACGAGCTATACATAAGGGCAAAGAAAACGCCCCCGATAAAGCCCCGATTCCTTAGATTTATATTCCTCTCTTGGTGTGTCTCAGGATGCATTGGTTTGATATACTCATCGTAAGTGCATTTTATAAGATACAATGCTCCAATTAATGCAAGGGGTGTGCGTTCAAAAAGAGGTGAATAACGCTTTGGTAGTATCAACGAGAGCGTTGCAATCCCAGCGAAGGCGCCATTACTTGCGCATGCGTAGTCGTTAGTAGTTTTAGGTTTCAGCCTGCTCGTTTGTGTGCTAAATAGGTAGACAAAACTTGAAAGAGACCCGGCCCCAAGGAAAAAAAAGATCGAATGAGGCCAACCAATGACAAGGGTAACAGGTTTAACCAGAAGCCAAGACGCAACCGTGTTCAAAACACCGTCCCTTAGAGTATGTACATAGAAGCAGGAGAGTGGGTTTGGAAAAGAGCTATTGGCTCTAGTTAGAAAGAGCTTCTGCAAAAATGAGGCTTTGGTTTCACATAGGGCACCTGAAGTATTAGCGCAACTATTGTAGTGATAGAGCATGAAAAAGACTTGTTCCGAAATTAAGGCCATGGCCCAAATTGAAGAAATGGAATCTCCAGAAAGTGCCCCTGCCAACATAGTAAGGTCTCTTGCTAGGTGGAAATTTTCATTCCTAAGAGGGGTAATGTGTAACCTGGTAGAATAGCTGTGGACTTGGACGGAAGTAAATTCTTATTAATCCCTTTGATTTCAAAAGTTAATATGGGGAGCGAAAGACCAAATTAATTCGTATTGGTTAGATTAACCTATTGCGCAATAAGTTTAACAAGATTACTTTAAGTACATAGTTAAAAATGTTGGGATAGGTATTATTGGTTTCAGTTTCACATTAGTAATTAAAATCTATAAATAAGTATTATACTACACGCATACTCATATATATGTGCACTAGTTTTTTGATCAATTATAAAAATACTTCCCAAAAGCAAAGCATCTAAGACTTATTTTTAAAGATGCGTATTTTTTGTCATAAATAAAACTGCCATGGTAGAACAAGTTTCATAATTATGTGATGCTAAACAATTCGAATTTTCTAAATTTTAGATAATATTTTTGTTGGCATATAGAGAATATCAGACACCCTGTGAAGACGGAAAAGAGACACAAAACGCAAATCCTTATAGTTATAAATTTCATGGATATGTTTGAATCCTCCGAGTTCGGTAATTTCACATATTACAATTGCTTCCACAATCTTCGCACCGACCACCTGAACACAATCCAGTGCAGCTTCCATCGTCCGTCCGTTTGCAATGAAGTCGTCAACCAAAGCCACACGCGAAGCTGAATTAATGCTTCCGTTTCGCACAAAAAGTGGTGGGTTGAGCGACTTTTTATTTTCTCCTTCCATAATGAAATCGCTCTCAGTTAAGACACCTCGTCGCATAGGTACGAAGGGGATTCCCAACTCGAGGGCAAGAGGGGCTGCAATATAGCAGCCACACGAATCAATGCCAATAATGTGTGTAGGCCCGTCCGAGCCCATCGCGCGATACCTCTTTGCAAGCCAGTCAATAATTGTCTTGAATAGTTCCGGATTTTCGGTGATGCTAGTCACATCGTAGGTCATTTTTGAGTTTTTTGATAAATTCATCTTGCGGAATAAGTACGACTTTTTCTTCAGAGCGATAGATACAGGGTGAGTCCTCTTTAGAGTGAGGTGGTTGGGCTCTATTTCAACAACTTCTTCCATTGTTAACTTTTGAACGTTTTTTTGGCTATATATGTTAATACAAGTTATGGTTCCTTTTTTACTTGTACTATTTATTTTGAAACTTGATAATTATACACTTGAGTCTGCACTGAAAACTAAAAGATGAAAAAAACTTTACAAGGTAAAAAGAGAGGATAAAATAGAGACCCAATGAGACTCACACAATAATTCGCGCAGTTTATAAAAATATCCCACTTCAGTCACGCTAAATTCTGCCTACAAAAAATTAAATTGTAACTAATCAAGCTAAGTTTAGAAAATATTTAACAAAAATGTTTGTTCCCTTCTATGTCCTGTAAAAACATTGATAATAGTTATTAGTTTCAATTGCTAATAATATAAAAAAATATATTTTTTTTTTAAAGGTATCAATATATATATATATATATATAGATATATATATATACTGAACCAATACATTTTTATTCTAAAGACTTTAGACCAATCAAAAAAAATCAGTTCAAAAGAGGGATTTTATCAGCAAACTTAATAACACGTGGCCCGTCGTAGTTCTTGTAGTCACCACAGTTTGAATCATCGAGCGATTCGCCCATAACCAATGACATGATGGAAACATTCTTGAATCGACCATCAAGGGCAGTATGGATTTTTTCAACGCAGCCAAAAGAGGGTACGGAGAGCAGGCAGGCCATTTCGATCACCGATGCCCCAGATGCGTAGATGAGTTGAAGACCAGAAGTCACGGTACCACCGGTTGCGAGGACATCATCAATAAGTACCACACGGGAAGACTTCGTGATGCTTCCAACCCGCAAGGTCATTACTTCGATCCCATCCTCATGGTATTCCTTATTAAGGGTGTCGCTTTGGATGAGCACACCTGCGTTTTTATTTGATTTACGTAAAAGTACAAAAGGAATCCCAAGTTCGATGGCAATCGATGGACCGAACAAAAATCCTCGAGCATCAAATCCCAAGATATGTGTGGGGGGCTCTGGGAAGCTTCGGTAGCGGTTAACAAAAAAATCACGGATCATTCTCATACAAGTGGGTGACTCCGTGATGCTTCCAGCATCAGCAAAACGTGGTATATTATGCGGTGAGAACCTGGGACTGTACCAACGATAGGTCTTTTTTATTTCTTGGGCAAGAGGGTCATTCTCCTCCAATGAGTAAAGAAGGGGGCTTATAGTTCTTACAGACATTGTGTATGAGTTAAATATTAATACGGATGATAACTAAGAATGAATTCCTTTATATAATATAGACGAAACAAGTAGTTAAGGAGATGATAATCATAAACAAATGTGTTAATGCATATTCAAGGTTCACAGAAACAGTTTTTTTTTAAAGGTCTAGAGTGCATAAGTTGAGAGGATATGCAGAACTTTATCAGCTTTCTATATTCATAGAATAATTTACCGGTATTCCTCTCCCAAGGCAATCCAAAAGCTTACCCTGAGGTTTAACCATTACCAACCTTGACATTTTATATGGGTATGCCTTTGAGGGTTAGCCACACATGAAATCACTTCCCATATTCAGTTGCATTGTTTATAAACAACCGAACCAGCATGCACTCTTCTCAATCTACATGGCGTTCCATTCGTTTTTTTTCTAGATTGTTAACAAACTCAATATCCTCCTCATTTACTGCTTCTCGTCCCATGCTGAGCGCCTGAGCTCGGAATAAGGCGGTAGCAACAGAAAAGATGTTGTTATGGACTAGTGCATCGTGATTATTCCATTTAGGAAATGATACGGAGAGGTTTATCATCGTCTCTACCAGTTTATCCTGGACGTTGTTATCATCTGAAAAGGAAGGGGACAACTGATGGGCTCGAGTAAAGTACTCTCGTACGATTGCTGCTTCAGAGTCCGATGCTGCGGCATCAGACAGGGTAAAACTCGACGTCGTGTGCGGTTCCCATTTGAACCGGAGAGGAAAATTAAAAATTGAATACACGGCGTCGGTATCCGACGCCGAAAGCGCTAGGAATGCAAGATTGACAAAAATGGGAACGGTGCGATACTGGTAATCGATGCTAAGCCTCTGCTTGTGAACAAGATCAAAGAGTAGATCGTCCCACGGTCTAGGCTTTTCCTCATTAGAAGTAGAATTGCGAATGTGTGTGCAATCCACCGTTATATGCGAACCATTTGCCACCTGAAAGAGACCGGTTTTAATGTAGTTTTTGACATAGTCGTAAACAGGCCCCAATGAGTGAACGGAGCTGCAAAGCAACTTTTCATCAAGAAACACTTCGGCTACAGGTGTAATTTTAGAAATACGCTCAGACCACACGTGTGGTTCAATATTTTTAGAGGTAACCAAAAGAGGAACATCGCCGATGGGCGTCATCTCGTGGTGTCCGCTTACTTTTGTGCACAAATGAAGAAGAAGGTACTCCGCGAGTAAGCTGTCTCCACCACAAATTTCCCGCTCCAAGTATCGCTTGCTCATATCCCGGTGTTGCGAAAAGGTAAGACCGCCTTGGGATAAGCGCCTTTGAACCGACGGAGTCTCGTTAAGATGGCGATAGGAAACACAGAACAGTCGAGATACAAGCCCCTTAGAAAGCTCTGCGGCGTGCCACGATGAAAACTGAGCAAATTCGTCTTCTTCAAGCACACTTGGGTCAGTTTGATCATCAAGGAGGTGCAGAAACCCGTAAAAGTCTACAACATCGTTAATATTAATCACACATTTGCACGTGTCGCGCCGTATTGGCACCATAATAATGCACGCCGTGCACAGGGCCTTGGAGGTGGCAGGGTAGGGAAGATTGAGATACTGTTCGTGGGTTTGCATTGGATCGACGGGGTGGACCATATTATTCTTCATAGCTCGCTGGGCTTCACTACAGAAACCTGCCGCACGCTGTGTAATAGCCTCGTTGGGGTGGTTCGCTTCGGCAATCGCCTTCTCATCGCTGCGGGGACGTCTTCGCTCGGATGGGCAGGGGGCACCGTCCTCAGGTATCGCCGCGCCTGCCGTTTCGCTTGTGCGGTAAAAGTGTGCATTACAGGGGACAGGAATGACGTAATAGAAGACAACGTCCACAAAGGTGGAGTTCTTTTCACTGCCCGCCTCACCGGTGTAAAATAGTTCGGGCGTCCCTTTGTAGAGTATCGGCTCGAGAGAGATGTCCTGGATCATCCCGCGGCAACGGCACAGTTTTCCGCCCACCGCTGTGTGCAGGTCCTTTGGGGGGAACAATTCAATAGGTTCGGCCTCATTAATCACGATCGCATGAAATTGCTCATCCACATGGCGTATTGCCTCTGCAAAGCATTTAGTTTCTTGATAATTCTTGTAAAATAATTCGTTCGCCTTTTTTTGATCAAATAAAGCCATGACAGAAACTTAAACGTTCTACGTATTCTTTTTTGAGTCGTCTTTGTGAAAGGAAAAGAGGGGGAAGACAATTATTTTAAATTTAGAATGTGTGCATGAAAAAAAAACATAAATATATTTTCAAACTATCTACGTACAATTACTTACATGAAAAGCCAGATATTAAAAGATGGAGAAGCCGGATCAAATAAAAATATCCACAACCTCAGATATATGAATAAAAATATTATTACACAAACTAATATATATATATATATATTGAGATCTATTTATCAAGTTACAGACTATTGTGTAACAAATTTACCAAGATCAATGGTAGTTGAAACAAGGAAGTATTGTTTTGAAACCAAAATTAAGATCCCCCCCCTCCCCCCCCAAAAAAATCTTCATATATTTTGAAGTAAGTTTCATAATGGTAAGCACATCCCAATGTCACTAATATAAAGAATCGGTACTAGAGCTTTCTTTAAAAGGCTGTCGAGATTTCACTCATTTAGAACATCATAAATTATTTTTGACTATCCTTTTAGAAAAAGGAGGATATATGTTTACCGAAACTAAGTTGTGTGCATTTTCAAAGTAAAACTTGACCAAATCGATTCCACTACTAAAAAAAGGTATATTGCTGAAACATGGTATATTCTAAAAATACAATTAGAGAGTTTCCCTAATATTTTCAAGACCTTACAGTTTATATTCAATCTTGTAATGCTCTCATAAGGTCAAGAGACTACACAAGCCTTCTATAATGAGTTAGAAAATCCAACAAGGAGTTTTATCACACAAAGATACTAGCCGTAGAAATTACTATTTTGAAAGCGATATGTAAAATCCTAATTTTAAAGATACTTCTGTGCATTTTACCTGTAATTAAGAGGAAGAAAGGTTTTGAATAAAAAAAGCAATGCTATTCACAATGGCGAAAGGAGACCTCCCTGAAAAGCATAAAACAATATTTTGAATTTGAATATTTTTTGTGTAATTAAAGAAGCAAATAAAAAAGAATTTCAGATTGTAGGATAATCCTCTGGTAATAGTGGAATCACCGTTGCTTAGATCATGCGGGCCAGGAAGCGATTGATGAGGGTCTCGCGGTTGCCGAAGTCTCCGCCCTCAACGAAGTGGCGGCGCTTCTGGTTCATCCCACCGGCGGGGGGGGCCAGCTTGAAGGGCCACAGGCCGTGCGTGACGGTGCGGAAGTGCTTGCCGCAGGTGTGGATCTGATTCACCATGTCCTCAACGCAGACGACGTCGTCGTGGTTGAACTTATCGCGGACCAGCTCGTTGTCCACGATCTTGATGCGCTGGCCGTTGATCTTGAGGTGGCCGCGCTTATAAACCAGCGCGCGGATCGTGCTCAGCGAGGGATAGCCGTAGGCGATGTAGGGCTCAACCGCACGCAGCATGTTCTCGATCGGCTTGTTCAACTTCACGAAGACGGTGTTGAAGATCTGGCGTAGGCGCAGGAGCTGGAGGATTTTGCGCTGTTTCGGCGGGACCTTCGCGATACCGCGGATGCGGGTCACCACGGCTACCTTCGGCTTTGCCTCGAGGAAGAAATTACCAGATGAAGCGGCCTGGCGGCGGAGCGTCACCAACTTCTTCTCGGCCCCACGGTATTCACGGGAGTACCGCATACCGCGTTGGTAGGCAAGCTTCCTTAGCGAGGCCTTGGCAAGCTTCGCGGCTGTGATGGCCTTCTTGAAGTTCTCGGTCTGCTGCTGCTTGAAGGCAGCGCGCTTGATTGCGGACTCAGGGGCAGGAACGCTCGGCATTCGGCACGGTTATTATCCTTTTATGATATAGAAAAGAAAGACAAAAAGGAGGGAAAAAGGATTAGTAATCTGTGGTAACCAATTAAAACAAAAGAGTCGTTTGGGTTGAAATAGATGCACTATTTTTAAAATTACTAACCAAATGATTAAAATATTTAAATAAACAACTCATAAGATTGAATCGATTATTCAAAATACCTTTC